CGATGCCGTCAGCCCCCGCGCCAACAACGACGACCCCGTGAGGGAAACATGGCTGGGTGTTGTCTTCTCCCGACAATACGGGGCAATTGGCCCTGGCAACGCGATGGGTTGGCCGGCACCGCCAGGGGGGCGCGCTCCGGTTGGGCTCTTTGCTGTGTCCTGGACGACCGGGGTCGCGTGCTGCTCTGTCGATCCGCGGCCCGGTTTTGTGGAGATGACTGGCTGTGGTTCCTCGCTCCGAAAGGCTGGCCAATCGCCCGTGATACACGCGATGCCAACTTCCGCATTTTTTTTTTGCCGCATTCTCCGAGACAGGCGCTTTGCCCCGCAATAATGCCGCCGGGATTGTGGGACACGGAAATATGCGTTGGCAGCACGGCAGCTAACACATAGCGGTGCAGTACGGGCTGAGATCAGAAGCACTGCAGTGCAGGAGGGTTGGCTTTTGGCTTCCCAAAGAATCGCGCCTGCGTTCTTTGGTGCGCGACCGTGGCGCCACGGTGGGGCAGCCAGCCATGAAAACATCAGGACGCCGGATCTTTACCGCCACCGCAAGAATAAGTCGCTTGTGAACAAGAACGGGCCCGTGCCTTCCATACGTGGGCCTATTTTTATTGGCATCCATGCGGCGGTGGGCATGTGGGGCGTGGTTCCTCCGCCGGTTGTCTTCGCATGCGTGGGCATCGTCGCACTTACATCGATTTGACGCTGCGATACACAGCACACGTGTTTTTTGCTGTCACCACCGCAGCACCGACGACGACGGCGGCGGGGGCGAGAAACACAGCCACGAAACGATGCATGCGAGGGACATGTCTGAGGCCAGCGGCGACGCGGGCAAGGACGAAAAGAACGGGGAAGGGCGGCAAGGGACACCATCATCACTGCCCCCACCGCCTGTTGTCATCTCATTTCCACAGTGCACAGTAGCAGCACCATGAATGATCTGCCGCACATGATCGCGGAACGCCAGGGGCCGGCCAGTGAGGTGGCGAAGGGGAGGAAGAGGAGGAGTGGAACACCGCCGACCACGAGTGGATGCGCCTTGTTGGTGGACCACTTCACCTCCGCCGCCGCCGCCCGACCCGCAGGGAGACGGCAGTGTTGGAGCGGCGAGTGCGGCAGTTGTCACATCCACACTTTTGGAAAAACTTCGGCGGAATGTACTTCGTAAGCGTCTTGATTGGCAGCAGATGCCCTCACGGTATCCGCTCGTGCAGCGGCTGCCCGTATGGCGACAGCGTTTTTGCGTGGAGCGCGCGCTTTTTGCCCTCGTCGGCCCTCCCGCTGCCGAGTGGCGGCAGTGTCACGGATACATTTGTATGCAGCGCACCGAAGCGGAGGGGTGACGATGCGGCCGTGCTCCAACGCGAAGTGGCAGAGCGACGGGCGCAGCAAGCAACGGAGCGGCGCACAAGGCTTGAGAATCAGATCGAGACGAAACGGAGGTTGACGGAGAAGTGGCGCCAGTACACGTGCACTCCGATAAGGTACTTTAGCACGCGAGACACAGAGGAAAAAAAGTACGCCGCCTTTGATGAAGCCACGGGGCTCCCGACGCGACGCGCGACAGGCGAGGCGTTGGGCGAGAAGGAGCAGAAGAAACTCGCAAAGGAGCTTGCGCGGTACGCGAAGGTCCACGAGGAGTTTGTTGCGAAAGGGGGCGAGGGGTGGCTGGCGGAGCAGGAGAAGGAATTGGCATCGCTTTGCCAGGCCCTCGAAAGCCTCTGACGGGCGCGTCTTGCGCCGTGGCCTGCGTGCGTGCGTTTTTTGGGAGGAGGATGAAGGAAAGAGAGAAGAAAAGAAGAGCGCTGAACAAAAAGGGGGAGACGGGAGGAAACAAAATAAAGGGAATAATGTAAGGTGGGGAAGGGGAGAACAACAACACCACGGCGTTGTGTCCTCCTCGCCAGCGGCGGTGGGAGTGGTGGGGGGAGGTGACGCGGAGGGCGGCCGGAAGCAGCAATAGGGTCGAAAAGAGCCGTGGGAGAAATTCCTTTGAAATAGCATGGAGGAAGAAACATAATCTTTACTCGTATCTTCCTCCCCCTGTCGCTGTGTGTGTGTGTCTGCCGCATCTGTCGGGGCCTCCCTCGCAGAGGCACATGATCCCCCTCCCCTTTCCACTGCCCGCCTGCATGTATGCGTCCTTGCTGTTGTTGTTTTGGCTGCTGTGCATCTCCCGCCCTCTCTGTCTCTTGCACTCTTTCCATGTATACGCGGATGCATTTGGGTGCGCTCCGCTTGTATGCCACCAACACCACTAGGAGGAATACACACACCTTGAGATATTTCCGCGCTAGCCCACCCGACGAGGCCACCGAAACGGAAAGAAAAAGAAAAAGAAAGGAGTGTTGGGGAGACAACATAAATACTGAGGTGACATATATCCACACGTCTCTGAAAAGAAAGAAGAGCAATGGGCTTTGATTTTGGCTGTCTGTTAAAGCTGTGCAGCACAGTGCTGAAGAGGGGTGGAGCCTCGGGGTCAATCAATTTCATGGAAATCGGACTGAATCTTGTCAAGATGGCGGCTCCGTATGTTGTCCAGTACCTTGGCCCTGTGCAACGCCCGCCGAGGGTTGACGTTGAGGAGGCCTTCCAGCAGGCGGAGGTGACGGAGGGTTTTAAGCCGTGGGAGACAACAACCCATGTGAGCGGCACCTTTCGTGCCCTTTTCATCGGCATCAACTACTACGGCACCAGTGCCGAGCTCTCCGGCTGTTGCAATGATGTGAAACAAATAATTTCCACACTTCAGAGGAAAAGAATTCCCATCGACGAGATGAGCATACTTGTGGATGAGAGGGGGTTCCCGGGGGCCAACGGCCTCCCCACACGTGACAACATTGTGCGCTACATGGCGTGGCTTGTTAGGGGTGCAAAACCGGGTGATGTGCTCTTCATGCACTATTCCGGTCACTGCACGCAGACCCGTGCGACGAGCGACACGGAGGAGAAATTTGATCAATGCCTTGCCCCTGTCGACTTTGCGACCAAAGGCTGCATTCTTGACAACGACATTTTCAGAATTCTCCTCCCGCGATTGCCACAAGGAGTGCGACTCACTGTCGTATTTGACTGCTGCCACTCTGGCTCCATGCTTGACCTGCCGTACACGTTTGTGGGCAGCAGGAGTTTGCGCAGCAGCGTCGCCGGTCACATGCAGCGTATTCGCAAGGGAAACGACTGTGCCGGGGATGTGCTGATGATATCCGGTTGTGCTGACGAGCAGACGTCCGCTGACGTGAGCAACGCGGCTACATTTGGAACGGGCGCGTCAGGCGCTGGTGGGGCAGCCACACAGTGTCTGACGTACACAATACTCAAAGTCAGTAATCTGTCGTACCAAGATATGCTTATTGCCACCCGTGACATGCTGAGAAGAAAGAGGTTCACTCAGGTGCCTCAGCTGAGTGCATCCAAGCCAATCAATTTACAGCAGGAGTTTTCGCTCATGACGACCTTTGAGGTGGATCCAGCCGTCGCCACATGACTTGTGGCCATTATTTGTGGGGCTTTGGACCGCGGCTTAACTGCCTGGAAAATAGCATGTGTTTGTTTGTTTGTTTGTTTGTAGAGGAGTTTAAGGAGTTGAAGTTTGCGAGCAGGCTGGCTGCCTGAAGTCATGTATATCGTGGTAAGAAAAAGATATTTCTGTAGAAATCTTCCGTATTTTATGATTCTTTGGTGTACCCCGATTGAAGGAATCAGGGAACCGTTAACGTCCAGACGTTTTACAATTATTTTAATTTTAAATTTACAGGCACAACGGGGTTGGTTTAAGAAAATGGTGTTGGTTTCTTTTACACGGCAACGGAATGGGGCGAAATTGGTGCCCGTCTCTGGGACCTGGTACGCCAACGTGGCGATATCGAGGTGCAGCTCACCTTTGTCGATGAAAACAGACCGTTGGATGCGACGTTAACTGTGGCTCCCTCATCGACAGGCTTACGCTTGGTTTTAGGAAACATCGCCAAACCCTGGGCGGATTCGAGCCTTGTAGTTCATATTGCGAATCTCCGGGTGCCTTAATTAACAAATTTTGAGAATCAATTGATCTTGCCCTTCGTGGGCGCAGCCCGGGAGTTGGGGCGCGTGGCGAGGGCTCATCATTGCTGAAGGGGAGCGCTTGAGCACGAAATACGCCCACGCTATTGCGGACGTGCAGAATCGAGGCGCTCAGGTTTATTCGCGGGTGGAAGAGGCGCATAACAACCTATCGGTGCGCGAATCTAGCATTGCGGTCGCTGGCAGCCTTCTTGCAGAACGAGAATGCGCGCTCGCCGGACGCGAATAGCAGTTGGAGGCGACCCGCACCCAACTACAGGATCGAGAAGCACGCATTAGTGCTAAAGAGGCGCAGCAAGCCGCGTGGAATGCGGAGACGGTGGGCCGGGAAGAAGTTTCCGCCTCTCGGAGAGGTCCGACAGATGGACCTGTCGCGTGTCATAATAAGGCCAAATATGGCGTTACCAAAAAACCACATTAAAAGCATCGCTTGATGGCTGTGGGCGCGTCGTCACGCGCGGCCCAACGAACTCCGGCGCGAGAGAGACGGCAGATTATTCCTCCAGACGTCTCAGGGCAATTTCGGGTGACCACATTTCTATCCCTCGATGCCTTTGCCCTCCAGCACTTCACTTTGGACGACCATTCCGCTACAGGAAAAGAGGAACGAATGTTCCGCGCATTCGGCGTCACCACTTGGGCCCCGCGTATATGGGATGAGGGCGTTTCCGGAGTCTTTTTAGACCTCCGGGGCGCATACAATTATTGGCAACGGGCGGACGACCAGGCCCAACTTTTATTTGACAGTTTGGTTGCGTGGATCGGTGCGCTGGAAGCGGAGCGGGATCCCACCGATCGCTTCATGAATTTGGGAAGGATCTTACTGCAGGCCTTCCGGATGCAGCTCATGATGGCATCCGACCCCGGCATCCCGCTCTTCAACGTTCGCGCCCGTCCTTGCACCGCCGTTCATGAGGCTGACACCTTTGCGAGGGCAATCCAGATTCCCTTGGAACGACGAGGGACGCAAATATCGTTGCGATGCCGGTTATGTCATGTTACGTGTCCATAAACATCTAAAAGCAACGTCCGAAACGCGACTGGAGGAGGTTACTCGCAGCGCGGACGGCCGTCAAGAAACGGCGAGGGGCTGCTTGCTGCTTCTTATGAAAGCGGACGACAGCAGCCCCATCCATTCCATCACCTCCCACCATTCCGCACGGAAGTCGCACCGCACCGCCGATGCTCCACCCGATATTACAAATTGCCCCACGCAATCATCGAGAAGGGAAATGGAGCTTATCCGCCAACGACGCTCGACTGTGGTACGACGAAGCACCGACATCCCCGCTTTGGGCCAGCCACACGAAGAGAGGGAACGAGGTGGCTCGAGAAATGTGGGCGCCGCCAACGTGGTAGCAGAGAATGTCCCTGGAAGGGCAATTCACAACCTTTTGCTGCTTGCACGAACAGACAACCAACGAGAAGAGCTGCGGGCCTTTTTGGTGGCAATATTAGATGTGGCGCCGTCGACCCGACTGCAGTACGGCAGGATGCTGCGGTCTATGTTGGAAATGGATCGAACCCCGCTGGACATGATGATTCTGGGGTTTAAAAAATTGCGGCGTGATTGGGAACAAAGCAGGTGCGCTCATCGACAACGGAAGGGATGGATCAATTTATCCGCAGCCGGACCGATTGGAAGGAACGTGTTGTTTTTCGACTTGCGTGGACGATGGCGAGTCGTTGGTCCGGGATTGCGGCCTTAACACCCAACAGTTTCACACTGGAGCCGGACGGGGCCATAATTTCGGATTGGTCCGTGGCGCCGAAGACGGTGAAAGCGGATCCCCACCGTGCCCCGCGGTTCGTCAGGATACGAGGGCGGGATGCGTTAGACACTATAACGTTATGCAGGACACTTCAAGAAAACGAAGAGCTCACGAATATTACTAATGCCCAAGTCGAACGAGCTCTGGCTCCTTGGAATGTATCGGCTCATTCCATAAAGCGCGGTGCGTTGCGGCACGCTGCTCAAATCGTGGAGACATACAATTTTGACCCACACGTGGTCTCGCTGTTGGCGAAGCACGTCGACCCGTTCGACCTTTCCCGGAATACGGTTCGATATTCGGGGATGTACACCACAATGCTGATCCAGGTGTTGTCGCTGGCCGCATTTATGTAAAGGGAGAGACTGCGGAAGGGCAGTAACCCTGGTTGAAAGCAGAGGAGCGTTTTTTCATGATTTTAATCACAATCATGCTGCCACAATAACGAGACGCGCGACAAGGACGCGTCTGACCACTCCACAAGATGAACACGCCATCCCGTTACAGCAGCGAGCCAACGTGCCCGTGTTGAATCTGGAGTGGATCAAGGACCAGTTGAACCCGGCTACCTTGGAGAGTCTCATGCAAGTTTGGGGACGCGTCGGGCGGTCCCCTTTCCCTCCGTCTTCCTCCGGTAAAGCGCGCAAAGGCTCAGGGAGGATTTCAACCGCTGACGCGCGTTTGTTACGAAAAGCGGGAATAATCGAGGACGCTTCGTCCACAATAACGGGCGGATGGATAATACCCTTTTTCGGTTGTGGAGGAGAAAACCACCGGTTTACGACGACGATGGATTGCGTGGCCACGCGACAAGAACAGAGACGACCCTTGTGAGGCTCATGTTCCTCTTTTACATATTTCCCATTGTTTGCCGCCTGTGATGGCTGAGGCCGCTTCCTGCCTGGATTTAAAGGCATCCTTTTTTCAGGTCTCTTTACTGCGGGAGACTCGGCATCGAAAGAGATGCCGCGTGTAGGACGGCACGCTGGTGGAGCTGACACGGCTCCCTATGGGACACAAGGCCAGCCCAGAAATTCTCCAGATCATTACTTCGGCAATTGCGGTGGTGACGACGGTGGTTCACCGCCTCTGGGCTGCACCTCCATTGGTGCGTATCGTCGTATGGATCGATAATATACGCATTGCAGGGTCGAAAAGCGATGAGACATTGTGGGAAGCCCAAGTGCTTCGTAATGCGGACGGCTGTGACGCATCCATTGGGGACCGCGAATCGGGCGCCATTTAGTGCATCTTTCTGGGGTGCTGTTTGATCACACTCACCGGGCGGTATCCCTGAGTGACAAGTTTCTCCGGTCTGTATGCGCCATGCCGGCGCTCAATTCTTTAACCATCGCGGAAATGGAGGTTACGGTGTCCCGCTTTTTATATTTGGCTGCCATTTTAGGCACGCGTTTAAGTGACTACTACTTTTTCATCAAGGCAGTGCGACGACGATTATCCGCACTTAACCGCGTGATTGTGCTGGAGACATCCCCGGCGAACCTTCCACCGTCAGCGGTTGGTTTGGGCGAGAGATTGCGACACATCATCGAGAACAATCATAGGCGAACCATCGAGTCCACGGAAAAGGCATTGGCCGCCATCATCACGGATGCATCGCTCCATGGATGGGAGCCGTTATCATTGCAGACTCCGGCGATGTTAAAATTGCCGGAGGAAAGTGGGAGAGGAAGCCTTTTCTTATCATGCAGGCCGAGGCGCGCGCGGTACGCTTAGCCTTATCGGCCTTTTATCGCCATCTTGCCATCCACCATGGACGTTTGGGTGGATAATGCTTCGCTGCGAGGAGCGGCGAATAAAGGCAGCTCGAAATCACACGCCATGACGTGGGAGCTGCAACGGATATATGAGTTTTTAGACTCTCGCGGAATGCAGGCATCCTTTGCATACGTACGGTCTGCGGAAAACCCCGCAGAAGGCATTTCACGCGGTAGTGTGTTTTTTACACTTCAGGACTTGGCGAAGGGGTGGAACTTGTGAAGGGCAGCGGCAGTGTCTTGTGGCTGCAGGACCCCAAAGTCTGCCACCTAGTAATAAATAAATAAATATTCAATCGGAATGGAGTGAGCAGGGCCACAATTGAGGCTAACGTATGGTATAATATATATATACACTTACTAGGTGTTAAACGTTGGGAATGTGGTGAATCCACTCTTATTCCATTTATTCCTTTCTTATTCCTATCTGGTTTGGTTTCTATTATCGATAAACAGCAGAATTTGGCCAGCAGTCCACGTGAATATCACTGTCCCTTTTTTTTTTTTTTTTTTTGTTTTGTTTTTCTTTTTTTGTTTGTTTTGATTATTTATGGCTTTACTGTATTGTTTTTGATACATGTGTGTGGGCGTCGATAACCATCCAGCGGAGGGTTGGGGAGTCCGTTTTAAACTGGCTTTTGCTTCGCTAATTGTGTGCAAGCCGTGTGATAAAAATTTTTCCGGCATGTGTGTGTACTTACACATGTAAGCTTAATTGTTTATTCTCGAGGTGGTCTTGTGGGGATGAATGTATACCAAGCACCCACAAGCCAGGGAAGAAGTAGAAGCAGCCCGATTATTGTGCGTTCTTCATCTACGCTTCTGAGCCCTTATATACCATATGTATATGTATATATGTATGTGTGTAGGTGCACTCGAGTTGGGGATGTGAGGGCGTGGGGGCTCTATTGTTACCATTTCATTTGCATCGCCCACTCCAGAGCGCATCTGTACCAAACATTTATCTTTTTGTCCATCTATCCATCATTTTTTTGTTTCTGAACTTAATAATTTGCTATTGTTTCAACGACGATGATGCCTGCATGGGCGTACCCGTTCCGTGCGTCTCTCTGTTTGGTTCTTTGCCTGGCACGCTCTTCTGCACGTCTTTGCACGTCTTTGCACGCCTGCTGTTGTTTGATTCCTTTCTTTTTGCCGCTTTGCCGCTTTTCTTGTGTCCATTGTGGGGGTGGGGTGGGGGATGGGAATAGAGTTGCTGAAGAGTGAAGGAAAAGGCAGGGTGGGCGTCAGCATCGGCACCGCCGTTGAAGGGTGAGGCCACGCCGGATCTTTACCGCCACCGCAAGAATAAGTCGCTTGTGAACAAGAACGGGCCCGTGCCTTCCATACGTGGGCCTATTTTTATTGGCATCCATGCGGCGGTGGGCATGTGGGGCGTGGTTCCTCCGCCGGTTGTCTTCGCATGCGTGGGCATCGTCGCACTTACATCGATTTGACGCTGCGATACACAGCACACGTGTTTGTTGCTGTCACCACCGCAGCACCGACGACGACGGCGGCGGGGGCGAGAAACACAGCCACGAAACGATGCATGCGAGGGACATGTCTGAGGCCAGCGGCGACGCGGGCAAGGAGGAAAAGAACGGGGAAGGGCGGCAAGGGACACCATCATCACTGCCCCCACCGCCTGTTGTCATCTCATTTCCCACAGCGCACAGTAGCAGCACCATGAATGATCTGCCGCACATGATCGCGGAACGCCAGGGGCCGGCCAGTGAGGTGTCGAAGGGGAGGAAGAGGAGGAGTGGAACACCGCCGACCACGAGTGGATGCGCCTTGTTGGTGGACCACTTCACCTCCGCCGCCGCCGCCCGACCCGCAGGGAGACAGCGACCGCAGGGGCGTCAAGTCGCCAGGTCGGGAGACGGCAGTGTTGGAGCGGCGGGTGCGGCAGTTGTCACATCCACACTTTTGGAAAAACTTCGGCGGAATGTACTTCGTAAGCGTCTTGATTGGCAGCAGATGCCCTCACGGTATCCGCTCGTGCAGCGGCTGCCCGTATGGCGACAGCGTTTTGCGTGGAGCGCGCGCTTTCTGCCCTCGTCGGCCCTCCCGCTGCCGAGTGGCGGCAGTGTCACGGATACATTTGTATGCAGCGCACCGACAGGTTCAGGCAAAAGCAGTCTTGTGCCATTATTCCTACTGGATTGTCACTGGACCCGACTGCTAGAGCGCATTGATGCATCGTCTGGAAGGTTGCACAGTGACGGCCCTCGCGTACGTGATGGGGCGACGTCACTGCCACCCCCAATGCCATTTTTTGTCACCGGGAGTTCTCGCGAGTTTGTAGCTGAGTTTGGGGCGAGTAGCCGACTTTGTATTGTTGTCTCCCAGCCCACACGTCTCGCATGTGTGGAGTTGGCGAAGTTTACAGCTGCTATTCTGCTGTCATCAACAACAACAACAGACTCTTCACCCCCAGATGATGTGGCCCAAGTTGGTGGTCGTGTTGGGTATGCCGTTGGCGGTGACAAATGCTTCTCCCTGGCCACAGAGATCATATACGCGACGCCTGGTTATATCTTAAATGCGGTGCTGCATAAGGGAGGGCTGCTGGCGCCCACCACACTTATCATTGATGAGGCACACTGTCGTGATATGGAGACAGACCTTCTACTGGCCTGGGCGAAGCAGCAGCTGCGGGAAAAGGGAGAGAGGCAATTGCAGCTCCGTCAGTTGGTGTTGATGTCAGCCACCCTTTCCGTGGAGGAGATGGTGGCGTTGTTCACCACACGGTTTCCCGCAATCAACGCGGAGACGCCAAGTGGAGAAAATGCGGCGGCCTTCAACCCACATATTCTTTTGGTTGACGCAGAAGAGAGGCAGCAAACGGGGTGTGGTGACGCTGCAAACGCCACGATTTCCACTCAGCCGTATTGCGTGGAAGAATATTTTATCGACGATCTTTCCGACACCATTGGAGCGTCCCAAGTGCTTTGTGGAAGCATAGAAAAGAATCCTTTGTTGGAGGCCCCTGCACGGCGTGTGGTGGCGTCATTGGGGCATTTTTTTTCCTACACTCGCTTTGGTGCGGACGTACATACTCCGCAGGCCCGCGTGTTGGCGCAATTTTTGCTTTTTGTACTGCAGAGTTTTGCCGTGAAGTCTTCCAGTTCCGGTGTCGGGGACCAGCGGAAACCCCGCCCACTCCAGTCATTTTCTTCTGTGCCAGACCAGCAGCCGGAGAGCATTTTGGTGTTTCTACCGGGCTTTGCGGAGATCTCGTTGGTGCTGCAGTCATTGGAGATGTTGTGTCGCGCGGTGTCCGTGGAGGTTGGGCCTGATTCTCCGCCGACACTCACGTGTGGCGTCTCTTATGGTGGTACGAGCAGTCAGCGAGGGAACGTCACATTCCTTCGGTACGAGCAATGGTGCTTTTCCGTCGCTCTGCTTCACGCCACGGCTATTGGAAGTCCACAGCAGCAGCTGCACGACTCCGCTGGCCCCTTTCCGTACCGCATTATTCTTGCCACGACGGTTGCAGAAAGTTCCGTGACCATTCCAAATGTCCGCTGTGTCGTGGACTCTTGTTTGGAAAGGCGTTTCTTTACCGATCCTCTCACAGGCGTCATGCTGCGCTCCACGGCGCTCGCGAGCGCAAGTAGTTTGCGGCAACGGGGCGGTCGCACTGGCCGAACGTGCGACGGCGCTGTGATTCATTTGGCCCCGCGTCGCCTGTTCCTTCAGCCGGAGAAAACGAAGACCGCGCGTCAAATTGAGATGCCTGTTTTTGCCGCGGCGGGCCTTTCATCTTTGCGGCGTGGCACATTATCAGGATTTGTGGCGCCTGCGCAGACATTGCCGGAAAGTCTCACGGCAAATGCGGCGGCGGTGCTTCTCCGCGTGAAGTATTTGTTCCCATCACTTCCGAGTGCATTGGTGCAGAACCTGCCAAGCCCGCCCTCGTCAGACGCGATAGCCCGCGGTGTAGAACAGCTTGTGGAGTTGGGGCTTCTGCAGTTGGATGCGAGTGGGGATGGCGGTTCGGTTAATGATGCCGGAGCGAGTAGCGATCCGCAGTGCGGGACGGGGGAGACAGGGGATCTGCACGCCGTGTTGTGTCGCTATGACCATGCGACGCTTACCGCAATGGGGGAGTTTGTGGCGTACCTTCCTCTGCCACATGAACAAGCGTTGCTGATTTATTATGCCCTTCAGTTTGCGTGCATCGAGGAGGCCCTCCTCATTGCATGTGCCATGACGGTGCCATCACTTCTTATGTTTCCTCGCATGACAGCACAGGACGATCAATCGCAGGCGGGCACACCAGCGATGCAGTACCTGTACTCCCTAGAGATACAGCGTGAACTGGCAGGGGTTTTAAAGGCGGGAGCTGCCAAATCATCAGGGGATGAACGAGGCGATTGCCACCTCAGTGAACCGCTGCTGTTGTGCTCGCTGCTGCGTGAGTGGTACGCATGCAATAACAGCAACGATGTCGTGGCGTTTCACACCAAATATTGCGTGAACCGCAGTGCGATTCGTCTTGTTGACGACTGCGTGGCTCAATGTGCCACTCGTCTCTACCACCTTGTGGCGGTGGATGCAAAGGCACAGGATGGCACAGAGGGGTTGTACGGTGAACACGACACGGCCGTGCGCCGGCCGAGTACGCAGGCGGTGGAGCAACTTATCACATCGGCCTTTCCGCGTTCCTACAGGGCATTGCTGGCGGGCTCGTTGCAGCGATTGCACCGATGCGCAATGGAGCACGCCACGCACCGCTTCTCACGAAGGGTTGCCACGATGACGCACTGGTACCCCCACGACGAGCAGCTTATTCGATTGCTGCAGCCGTCGGCGAGGGTAGGCGACGGGAACGTACGAAAACGAAGATGGGGGGAAAATCATAAGGACGGGCTCACAATGACGTTTGGTGCCGTACAGCACCGCCTAAGTGCGGCGTTTGTGGCTGCCTTTGCCCGCAATACCATGCGTGGCGAGGATGGGTCACACCGTGTGCATCACAGACGACTTGTGCGCAACCTCGGCGCTTTGCAGGAAGACGCGGACAGCACCTGCTCATTCAGTATCGAGCTGCACACCCAACAACAGCAAGTGGGCCTCACTCGGGCTGCGCCGTACGACCGAATGACTCTGGAGGAATTACACCGTGTGTTGGCACCTTATCTTGCAGGAACGCATCTTCGCCAGTTAGAACTTTTTGTCGGTGGACGTTCCGCAGTTGCCTGTTTTGGGGTAAATGAAACGAAGGAAAAAGAAGACGAAACGGGTGCGGCGGCTCAGCAGGAGAAGCAGAAGCAGAAAGACGAGTTGTTGCTTGCACCTCATGTACTCCCATTTGAGGGCATGGCCAAATCAAATTCCCCCGCGGTGACACTGGCGCATATTGGCATCAGTTTACTTGTGTCCATACAAAGTGCACTAACACGTCTCACGGTGTTACTTCCACCATCCACGACGCCAAACGAAAGTAATAAGAGAAGTAATGATAATATTAGCGGTATTAATAGTAATGGTAATAATAATAATAATAATAATAATGGTGGTAGTAATGAGGAAAAGGATCCTGGTGAGACGCCGGCATGCCCCGTATCCATAAAAACTGCTTCGACCGCCACCTCCAGCGTCTATCGTGGCATTTGCTTCGATTCAGTGAACGAGGATGAGGAGCCGGCCAATGTGTGTGTAACGTGGCATGATAGCTACGGTCACAAATGTTCCTTGCTTCTGAGCGACGTGCGGCGTGCGGGGTACGAGGAACTCTTTCCGACACCCTCTGTGACCGCGTTGCCGGCGGCATCTGCTGCACCTGAAGCAACAGTGGTTTTCCATGGCGATGAGTGCCGTACAACTAGTGCGGGTATGTTTTCAAACCCTTCAAGTTGCACTAAGGGTCAGGTAAGAAGCAAAGACGAGGAGGACGACGATGAGGAAACAGTGACATTGAGTGTGCAACGCGTCGTTTACACCCGCGCCGTGTATTGGAAGGTGACGCTGCCAACAGTTCGATTTGCATACAAGCGGCGTCCTCTGGAGAGCGCAAGCACGTCCCTCACGACAGGAGAGAAGACGACACCCACGCCCTTGCCAGGTGGTGAGTGTCACTACTGTTGGGTGTGCCACAGCGCATGGATGCGGAAAGACGCTTTTCTCGCACACTGTCGGTCGGTGACGCATCTCACCCGACTTGCCTTTGCTGTACAGCACGGCATGCGGCATGAATGGGTGGAGGCGTTCAGCAGCGGCACACTGTCGGATCTGCTGCTGCGGCAAAAGGATCGAGATGGCAGTGGTATGTACATGGAGCTTCGACACTGTAATTTATCGCCCACGTCTTTTATGAATGCGTTGCAGTGGCAGCCGCGCAGGGATGAGGCAGTTGTCACGATGCCCATTGCCATTGCAGGTTCGCTTCTTATGCACACCACGGCGGTACCAGCATCCACTATGCCACCACATGGCGGTGGAACAAATTTGCAGGCGCTGCATGTATGGGTTCTGAACACCGAGAGCGAGGCATGTGTGTTCAAAAAGGCCACCAACGACATGCAACCAGCCACCTCCTTGCCCCCGTCTGTATTCGTGCTGGCTGGATATCTTGCCGCCGCCTCGAGTGGCTTTGATGTCGCACTGCTGATGAATAAAAACCACACACGGGCGTATGCAGTCATGTTGTATGATTGGGGTGTGTGGCGTCTGCCGGCCCCTCTAACCCGCACGCGGCTGCGGAGTGTGCTTGACGTGTTTGCAGGGAAGCCATGGCGTGGTGTACCCGTCACAAGAGAAGATCATGAAGTGGACGATGATTGCAAGAGGGATGTGACGCCTGCTGCTGCGGGTGATGAAGATGATGTGGAGGCGGGTGATTTGCACTGGTGTGTCGTCTCCGACGTCTGCCCACAGTGTACATATTGTGGGAGTGGCGGTGTTTCGGATGAGAAGAGGGCCACAGCAGTGCAACAGCGGCTGCAGCATTTGTCGATTGACAATATGCCGTCGGCTGCGGAGGTGGTGGAGGGTACGATCCTGCTCGTGCTGCATGAGTATCAGAACTCGCAGCGCACCGTTATCAGTTTTGCCGACTACATACAACGTGTGGTGGCAAAAATCAACGTATGGTCCGCAGCCCAAGAAAAACAGCAGGGGAGTACCACAAACAGTTTGAACCGGCAGTTGACATGGAAGCGGGTTGCAACGACAAAGAAAGCGACAGCCGAGAGGCGTGGCGGTGCGGAACTGCTTGCGCGGTTTGTGGCAAGTCGATACAATCAGCCACTGGAGTCTCTGCTGCGCGACATTGGTTGTCAGTTCCTCACCCCGCCTGGATCCCTCTTGCAGACTGCAACGAAGCAATCCGCCTCTCCTACCACAGGGTCCGGCAATACGTCTTTGGCACGCACCGTGTCATTCAGCGCGAGCGCGATGGCGGCGGAGGGGACCACAACCGAGAAGTTATTTCTTCTTCCAACAGTTTTGCCGAGTTATTTACCGTCACCGGAATTTGCTGCACTACTCCGTAGCCACCGGCGACGCATGCGAAATACACCTGGCAATGTTCTGCCGGTGAAAAAGGCAGGAGGTGGTCCCGCTGTGACTACCGGCCCTCAGTATAAGAAGCAGCAGCAGCCATTATTTTAGACAGTCTATCTGCGAGCCTCCCTCTTTTTGATTGTGCCAGGCTGATATTTAAGAACCAACATGCTGTGGAAGATGTCTGCGATACATGCATACACATACATACGTCCACGCAAGGAAGGAAGAGAATGAGATAAAGAAGGTAGAAGCCATGAAATTGTTTTGAATTTATGTGCACGTTGTTTACTTTTCTTTCACAGGCACAAACACACCCCGCCTCCCTTCTTTTTCTTTATTATATTTTATTTGCCTTTCCGGCCATTGCAGTAATAAATTCAGAAGGGGGCGTCATTGAGAGGAGTAATCACCAATACTTTTTCCCTTTTCGGAGGAAGAAACGGTGTTTGTCGGCCAAAGTTCATTGCAATGCGTGTGAGACGGGCGACGACAATAACGGCGGCGTCATCCGTGATGCATCGCCAGCAGTGCCGTTGGGACCTCTCGACACCATCCGTGCCGCGACAACAGCAGCGTCCATTCCGTCGCACAAAACGGACAAATTATGCGGATCGAGAGCATGTGTTGTTCCCGGATATGTGCACTTCCTTTGGGGGTGGTGCAACTGCGGAAGGAAATCGTAGTCTCAACCCCACCACCACCGCCACCACCCTTTCTTCCTTGTTCCCCTCAACAGCAACCCCAACGGAGGAGGTGTCGACACAAACAACTTCCATCTACACAAAGCGGGTGTCACTCTCGCATGGCGATCGGGTGGAGTTGCAAAAGTCGGCTCTGGCGCTCAACGCTTTGGCAACACCCATTGTGGGTCGATTGCTGTACTACGGGCTCACGGCAATGGCGTATATACGATACAGCGTTGGGCATGTATCCTTCTACACACGAAAAAGCGTAGCACCTCCGCTTTCTACTTCGTCCTCTGCAACGACGAAAACGTCATCCTTATCGTCTAATTGCTCAGTATCTTCAACTTCCATACAACATCTCATTGAAATGGGGGCGTATGAACAAGCGGCAGCAGCATTTGCAGCTGAGAAGGTCGATATCAGTTCTTCTCATTGCGGTGTAAATGCACCTCTTTTCCGCGGTATCCTGCACGGAAAGGCGCTGGATTGTCTTTACGTGGGCCTAAGCTCTATTCATAGTCGTGGTCTCATGACATCGCGTGACATCCCGCGTGGCACCCGCATCGTCACGGAGCCACAGCGCAGTTACATGGACGCCGCAAACTTTCTCCCACTATTGGCGGACACGCATATACGACTTCCTGACACCTGGCACTACACACACCCATCCGGGGTGTTGTTGGAACTCGTGACACAGCCGTTGCCACACCACATCATGAATCATAGCTGCGATCCGAACGTCTGTAGCGGCCTCTCCCGTCAGTTTTGGCCAGCGGCAATTGCCTCCCATAATGCCGAGCTTCTCAACCGCATCCAGAGCTTCCCGCACTTTGATGACCCGAACAGTTTCTTCACCACCCGCGATGTGCCGGCCGGAGGTGAGTTGACGTTGAGTTACGCACACCGCGTCGCCCCGCTATTTTCGGGTGAGGACCCACTGCAGAAGTTTTTTGTGATGTGCCGCTGTGGTTCGCCCATGTGCCGCCACTTTTTGTACCGTCCAACCGATGAATTCATGCGTTATGTCAGTCAGCTTTCTCGTTCCTGGAGTGGAGGCAAAAAAAGAAGGAAAGGCATTCATGACGAAGCCAATGACATCTCGCGGCTGCTTCAGTTTGGATTTGATGATGAGACGGTCCTCCTGTCACTCCTGCCGTCGCGGACACAACTTATGGCGTACATGCGGACACATTTGGCATCGTCCCGCCGCACCGTGTCGAAGGGCCAGCTGCTGGCGTGCTACAGACATGTGTTCAAACTCCTCAACGAGGCCGCCCCGAAGGAGCAGAACCCATATGAGGATGTTTCTTACAGAGAGACAAAATGAATTGAAATAAGCAAGATGGCACCATGGAAAGGGGGTGAAGGGAGATGTATGTGGATTGATTTTTAAGCGAAGAAACGAGTCTCAAAAAAAGTAAATAGGTGAGGGGGGGTGGAGGAGGGAAAGAGTGTGTCTGAGTGGGTGTACTTGTTTTGCCCCTTATGTCACTGTGAAATTTTTCCCTTATTATTACCATTTCTTTATTTTTTTTTTTTTTTGCTGCGATATTGGCAGAAGTCGGGGTCGCCATTTTTAGATTTAGAGAAGAGGCTGCTCTCATGAGCGGCGATGGTGACTCCTCGCTTGACCCCTCTATCCTTGTAGTGGAGGCCCGCTTCAATGAGTCTCTGGGAAATCAAAGTGTCAGCGGCGGTGGTGGCAGCGAAAGATGGCAACACCATGAAGAAAAGCAACAGCAGCAGCAGCAGCCATTGTCACTTCCTCCGCGCTCCAGAGGTGACGTTAATTGGAACGCCAGCAGCAGCAGCAGCCCTTCGACGATAGAAGAAGCAGAGGGAGGGGATGGTGACAGGCGCACGGCCGATAGGCGATGGAGTGACGACGGGTCAAATGCTGGCAATGACCGTGACGGAGGGATAGAGACAAATGAGGAGAATGAGGACGAAATTGCAGAACGTGTGTTACGCGCACTGCGGTGCAAGGACATGCTTATGGACGAGCAGGCGCGTAAATTGCAACGTCGAGAGATGGAGGCGAGGCAACTAAGAAGAGAATTAGATGAACTACGGGGAGAAAAACAACTTCTGATGCAGCAGCTGCGAGGCTTTCTGGATGGCAGCACGCCCATGACCACTGCCTCCGAAACAGGGCCCTTGAAGGACTCAGGGCAGTTGTATCCATCCATGTTGCTTCAGCGTGCGGATTCACAGCTGCAGGACGAGAGGGCGGAGCGGCAGCAGGATGCAAGGCACTTCATGGCGCACATTGAACAGCTCACGGCGCAGCTGGCCGAGGCACAGCATGAGGCAAGGACGCGTGAGGCCAGGCACGCTCAGGATCTTGACACTATTCAACAAGAAATGCAGGAATTATCCACAGTTGTGGATGATATGCACGCAACAAAGGCAGCTTTGTGTCGCACACAAGAACAGCTTGCAAAGGCCAACGAGGAAAAGGCGCAATGTCAACTGGAGCGGGACCGCCTTGTGAGGTCGCTGCAGGAAGCGTTGCGTCGTGAAGGATCTGAACATCAACGTACGCTTGAGCGTATGCGTGCGGAGGCGGGGGCATATGAACGTGCAAAGGCTGCTGCAGAAGCAAAGTGCCGCCGTGCGGAGGCTGAGCAGTTGAAATTGGCCGAGGAATTGCGGGCGCTGAGAATTGAAATGCAGCAATTGGTGGACGAAAATGCTGCACTCACGCTGCGGATGGAGTCGTCTGAGCAACAATTGCGGCGCGCCCAAAAGCAGCACGTGGAGGAGCGGGCGGCAGAAGCAGAGGCGCGTCGACGGCTTCAGGAGGAGTTGGATGCGAAGGTGAGGGAAATGGCGCAGCTGCGCTCCACGCGTGACGCCCAGTCGCAATTGCTGGTGGAGGAGGAAGGGCGACATGCGTTGTTCCAGGCGGAGGTGGAGGAGTGTGTGCAGAGCACACGGCAGTTGGAGGAGGCACTCATGCGATGTGAGCGGCGCCGTTGCGAGGCTGAGGAGCGTGAAACACGTGTTGCGGCGGAACGGGATGCGCTCCGTGTGCAGTTGCAGCGGGTCACTGCCGCCAGTCGGCAGGAGTTGTTGGAGCAGCAGCAGCTCACAGAGGAGATGCGCAGCTTCCACCAGGCAAAACTACAGCAGATGCAGCAGGCAGCAGAGCATCAGCGACAACGTGCAGAAAGACTCGAGGAAAAGAGTGAAGAGGCCGTAAGAGAGTATAGAACGTTGCAAGCATTACTGGATAGCACGCAGCGTCAAATGGAAGAGGTCGCCGGGAAACTGCACGAACTGCGGCAGCAACGCATGTCGCTTGAATCCATGCTTGCGGAGACCCAGCAGGAAAACAACGAGTGCGCCGCACGGGAGAAAAACGCTGCCGCGCAGTTGGATGCAATTCGAAGCCGATTGAAGCAGCGAGAGTGTGCATGGCGCGAGCTACGGGCCAAAATGCAGCGGCTGGAGGAGCGTGAGCAGCGACGGCGCCTCGCGGAGGCGGCAGACTCGCTTCTCCGCATGCGTCAAAATCACCACTCACAGGGAAAGTGTAAAACCAAGTTGCAGACGTGCATACGGGACAAGATTTCCCGGGCAAGATTAGAAGAAAATCTGTTGGATAATATTGCGGGGGTTGATGTCAACACAACACTCTCCACAAAAGAGCCCTCGTCAATGACAGCACCACCACCACCACCAGAAACAAAAAGGACACCGCTGCGCGGCCCGCAACTTGATGCATGGCAGGCAAAGTTGCAGGCCTTGGAGGCACGCAACGCCAATCTAGAAAGACAGCTCGCTTCAAGGCAAATTGGCCACCGTGCTCTCGTTGAGGATCGTAAGGCGCTCCATCAACAGATGCATACATTGCAGGAGACGGCCCAAGGGCTGATGAGTGCTCTGGAGAGACAACATCGCGATGCGATCAAACACCTCGAGGAGGCGCACCGCCGCCACACGCTCGTCGCGTGTCGTGAGGCGAGCGATGCGCTGGCCTCTCATGAATCTTGTGTTCGGTCCGGGGTTGTACGGGTGGTGTCGGAATTGATGGCGTTTATTCGGGCACTCGAGGCAAATGCGACTTTGGTGGCGCGTCATCACGAACGTCTGCAGGAGGCGCCCGTCCAAATGGCCGACGACGACGACAAGGAGAATATGTTGCGAGCCGCGTGCGATGACATCACGCGTAACTTTCTCGGGGTGGAGGGTGGATGGGAGGCGTTGCTGCAGCACTCATTGCGTACGACTAGCGGCCGTAAGAGCTCTCGTGCAGACGGCGGTTCGTTGACTGCGGCCATGCGACGCCGTATTCGGTGTTTTCTTATGGATTACTTGCAGGCCCAACTCCTCGGAAAGCCAGCGGCCGCAGTACTGCCCGCGCTCCGACGACAATCGGGTAACAAGAAGAAGGCATTGAATGTCAGCTTTGCCGCTTCCAGCGATGGCAGCACCGAGAGCCATGATGACTGGGATGAAGAACAGGAGAATTGTGGCGAGCGGCCTCTTGTAGAACTCTTGATGGAGCGCGTTCGGTGCGTGTATGGGGATGACACGCCTTATTAGTGTGTGTGTGTGGAATTCAAAAACAGAGAGGGAGGGAGAGAGTGGGGTAAATGAAGAATCATCTCTCTCTCTCTCTCTCTCTTTGTGGCATTTAAACGTGACGGAGGCAACCGTCACTGTCATTTGAATGCCTCACCGTTTCTTTCATCTTTGCACACATACGCACACATACGCAACTTCTGTCTGCCGTCTATTTCTTCTAATTGTTGTTTGGGACTAAACACAAATAGAAAAGAAAAAAAAGGGAAACGGAAAGCAAGAAATCATCAAAAAAAATTTTGGAATTTAAGAAGAAAAAAAAAAATAAAAAGAGAAAAAAGGCTGGGGAGGGAAGGGAAGGTTCTTTGTGTGTGCCTAATCGTTGGTATTTCTCACACAAATAAGTAAAAGGAAAAGGGGTAAACGGATAACTCAACCTCCCCGCCCCCCTTCAACAGTAAGAAGGGCAGGCAGCAGGAAGTACAGGCAGGGCGGTCTTTCCTTCCCACCTACACGCTCCTACTCTTCCTCATTCAAAGTCCCTTCAATCTTTGGGGGGAGAGGATCTCATTTACTGTCGGTATCGTGGGCAGCGCACATTGTCGAAAAGATAGGGGTTCAGGGGTAAGAAAAAAGTGGCGGCCCCTGAAGTCATGTCTACTGCTCAATCCCGTGCAGCATCGTCGTCAGCATCGTCATTGTCAGCAACAACGATGAGCAGCACCGTGTGCTGCAGTTCTTGCACTCCTGACGACACGCCGCTGCAGGCGATACGTTACTTCCCAGCCTCCACGTCCAGAATGGATGCCGATAGCGCCGATGATATCAGGGCCCGTGGGCCCAGAAAAAACAAGCAAGATGAGGAAAGGAAAAGGCAGGCGCAAGGGGACTCCCATGTGAAGTTGAAGTATTTAGAATCTTTTGACGCATACGAAGACGACGTTGAAGAAGACGGAAGTCAACTCCACCGCCACCGTCAGCAACAACAACAGCAGCAAAATTCTAGTGACTTCCTTTTGAGCGTTGGAACTGGCATGAGTGCCGGACGATTACAGGTGCGTTGCGACAATTGTTTTCAGTCAGGAATTGGTCGTTCCGGTACGTCGAACTTCGTTGATTGGCAACAACAGAAGGAGCCACGTTTTGAGGAGCCGAAAGATCTTGTGACATCGGCATTATCATACCAGGTGTGGAGGTATGAAGCGCCTGATTCCCACACCAACAGTCTTGAAGGAAAGGTTAGCACGTCGTTGAAGTGTGGGAAGAACGAGAGTGCCTCATTGGGAGTATGTCGGTGGAATGATCGCAGTAATCACGTTGCATGGCGGTGTTCAGACGACGGGAATAATGAAACCATCAACAGCTGGGGAGAGAAAACATCACTACTTCTAAATTCACAGAAGAAGTCATGTGTAGCACCAAAGTCCCCAAACATGCGAAGTGTGAAGATGGAACTTTGCAGCCTCCATGGCGTGTATAGAGAAAGGGAGAAGGAGCAGCGGCAGCAGCAGCAACAACTGCAACATTTCCTTTTTTCCTCACACACGATGAATGATGGATTTGAAACTTCGCATGTTGACAGCGTCAAGGGGCGATGGTTACGATGGAGAAGAAAATCAAAGTCGTTCGCGGGAGCAGGTGTCCAGACCGATTCCATGGCATTGGCGGAGTCAACAAGAAAAACAACAAGAATAAGGGAAGCTGTAGGCATTGGGTATTTGTTGGGCGATCATGCGCCGCGCATGGGCGACATGTTGCGGCTGTTTTTTGTTCCCGGTGCGATTGATTTGGAGGAGCGTGACGTGCGACGATGGATCTGCAGTGTAAATCAGACCCGCCGGCACGGTTTTCTCCTGCCCGAACTGCAGGGTATTGATGCGGGGGCACAATTTCAAGAGTTCACCCAACCAAAAACGGCTTATATGAGCGGCGAAGCAGCGGAAGGAAATTCGGGTGTCGTCTCCTCACCACCGGCCATGGCAGCTGCGGCGGAGACAAGGCGAGGGCAAATGGATAATGTATCGGTTAGCCGTGCTGCCGCTGATGTGTATACGCGGCAGAAGGAAGTTGAGTCCATTAGTTTGGACCCTGCAAGGGTACCCGGCAGGTTTCTTGAAGACAGGGAAAAACTAGATGCATATTGGGCGGGAGATGAAAGCGGCAGAAGTAATAATGATAATTCGGATGACCAGATGAGTGGGATGAAGCAGCACTCACGGTATTGGAGTAACGATTGGAGAAAATACTCCATGGAGGCATATGCTATGGAAATATGTTCAATGGCATCATGTAGGTCTGTGCAACAAAACATTGACAACTGTTCTGTTAGTAGTGAGAATAGGAATTATGACAACGGTACTTCTTTGGCGCCTTCGTCCTTGAGAAACAACTCTAAAAAGGATGAAGAAAAAGCATTTGGCATGCGATGTCTACATGGAGGAAACGACGGTGTTTATTATTGCAACGATCATGATTATCAAAAAGAAGAACAACAAGGAAAATTCATGACAAATGATAAACGACCTGCAATGGACGGTGCATCGGCTTGGGAGAGAGGAATTATGGATGATGATGGTTGTGGCATAGGCAATGACGACAGGGATACCCGTGTAAATCAACAATGTAGAGTGAAAGTCTCTATTGCCGCTCTTAAATCACATTTTGTTATCATGGCAACTTTCATGCCGCTGGCGTTGTTTATTGGACTTTCGGTACTTACTTCCGCCATCGTTATCTCAGGCCTTCTTGTTGTGGTGGTGGCGTTGCTGCTTGGTGTACTGGTGTACCGGCATATCGTGGCACTTTACTCCTTGTGTTTTTCCCAGAACTTGTGGCCCACCATTCCATTGGGTTGCAGCAGGAGACATAATAATGAACGACGCCGTAGCCTTGACGCGTCCCCTGATGGCAGTTGGTTGCTCATGTCCCCGAGTCTTCTTGAACTCACGCATCGTTTTGGTGGACGGTGGATGTACCTCGTGACGAAACTGTTGTACATGGGAGCACTGCTTGCCGCGGCTATCTTATTTATGTCCTTTGGTTTTACGCTGACCGGTGGCGCAGCGGCAATCATTTGCACCTTGTGGGATCACTCGACGTTTGAAACCCTTTCCATGACGGACTCATCGCAGGGATGTCAAATTGGACCCAAACCTCGCTTTCTGGTTCTGTTCCCATTTCTCGCCCTCGCTGTGTGCTTTGCAGGCCCAACTGCCGCACGTAGCCATTTGTGTTGGTGGGAAACAGGCATCTTTAGACTTGTTTCCCTGACTGTCTTTGGGCTTCTTTTCTTTACAATGCTTACGGTGCAATTGGTATGGACGCTTAAACACTCACCCAGCGTGTTTGATATCCCGCTTCGCTTCATTGTGGATCACGCGTGGGGTCGCCGTGTGCCAAGTCTTTGGTGGCTGCAGGACACCGTGAGCCAGGCTGAATTTTGGACGGAATGGCAGGTTCTGGCCTACATGGTGTTG